TGGATGTGACCGAACGATAGAACGATCGAACAAGCACAACTAAGCTCTTTTGTTATCAATGCCAATGCTACCTATCCTTATTGATGGCTGTGTGCAGTGCATATGCAAGAATATGCTTGATTGCCTCATCAGAGAGCCCTGGAGACCTCCGATTCCTTAAAAGTGGCTCATGAAATACCTGGCTGGTAATTTAAAGTGATTAATGTCAAATAGTCCGGGTATCATGCATGTATGACATTGTATGTACAGACTCGAGATAGAAGAGTATGCACCTATCCATTTTCTATTTGAAGTTTTTCTTTTGATTACAATACATAGTAGCTGGTACTGCATCTATCAGTCGAAAACCTGAAAGTTCTTTTATGCTACATGAACGTTTGACTGCTTGAATGTTTGACTGCTTGACAGTTGACAGCTTGACAGCTCGACAGCTCGATGAGACCACTTTCCATGATGGATGGATAGATATACGTAAAGAGCAGTAGTGTAGGGCTTCATGGGAGAAACCCTTTCACAGTACCTAGTCCCTCCCGGTACCTACTAGGCCGTGTGTGTCATGAAGGGGGCAAAAACTTGAAAATTAGAGTTCCCTAGTAGCATGGTGAACTTGGCTGAAGCTTTCATTCGTGATGATTCTGACGATTCTGATGAAGGGGGCAATCCGAAACTAATAAGCACTTATTAGTAAGTAAGAAGACTTTGGACAATCGGATTCTTGATAGAACGACCGGTGATGCCGCTTTTAATCACCGACCGGAAGGGAAGGGAAGGGAAGGGAAGGGAGAGAGAAGAGGACTCTTATTTATTAATTATTAATTGCTTCTGCCTTATTATTGCGGGGAATCCAAAGGAATCAATCACGCATTGGAGCGAGCTACTAGCTACTTATTATGTAGTGCTATCATAGGTACACCAGTACTACCAGTAGATGGAAACTTTATTTCACTCATCATGATTGTGTGAGGAGTATCATGAGCTTCAATTGGAGCCGACGGCCCCTTTATGTACACTCGAGTCACGATATGAGAATCCAAGATTTGCTCATGTATGAAGGAGGTACTCGGTACTCGGTATGCATTTAACATAGGTAGTAGGTACCTCAGTAGGTCGTAGCAAATGTTTTATTTTATTTTATTTTGTTTATTTTATTTTACTTTATTACTTTATTGATTTTACGTCTTTCTCCATCAAAACCCCCTCTTCCCCCCTCCAAGGAAATCAATCAATGAATCCTCTCCTCCGTACAGTCGAAGCTAACACCTACCTAGGTATACGTACTAGGTATCGACTCTCTCGTAAGCATTTGGATAGCTTTTCTTGCTGTGACTATGACGTTTTCTCAACCCCTTAATCGGTGCTTGTACGCACAAAGTATCAAAGTATCAAAGGATCCAAGTATCAAAGTGTCCGATGGTTATGGAAAGTCTATCAGATCATCTGTAGATATGTACCCAGCTCGCCTAGGTAGTGTTGATGGATACGAGGGATTTAAAAGACATTCATTAACCCTCCGCATGTCATTCATGATTATCTGAGATGAGTTGTATGAGTCGTACGAGAGAAGAAGCCAAAGCTACCCAATACGCTCAATACACCCAATACAAAGAATCACACCAATAAATAACCCATCCATATTTCAATAAAAGGTCTGTCGCAAACAATCGGAGATTGAGCTCTCGGTGAAAAAGTCATGGTTCTTTGTTTCAATCAAATTTGGATGATGAATATGAATGGCTATCTAGGGTGATTCCATATCGAACCAAGAACTAATCTCAATCACCGACAGCAAATTGAATAAGGAGAAGAAGGAGGAGAGGGAGATACCACGACTAAGACCATCAATCGAGCAATACCAATCATACAGCCTTTGTTCATTGCAAATCCAAATGTCTGATATTTAAAGCTATTGAAATGAATGTTCTCACAGCTTGGACGCCAATCTTTCCTCTCTCCACGTATATAAGAAGTATTTGACCAAATATCGATAAAAAAGATGGGAACTCTTTCCAACACATTTTATTCATCCAATACATTGTCTATTATCTGTTCCTGGACCCTTTGCTTTGTCAAAGTATCATCTACCTAGGTCGAGGGAGAGACATCGAGAGAGTTCAATATTGACCTTGTTATCATATATACCATTGTTCAACTTTCTCAAGGGAATACCTCCCCTACACATCGACCGACCTAGTATCATCGTTATTATCATTATTGTTATTATTGACTTGACCTGATCATCCATCTGATCCATCTTCGCACACATACATACATACCTACCTACCTAGTACATACTTACATATATACCTCCCATATCTCCTGCGTACATAAAAGAAGATTACCTTGCCGCACCCAAACCTCAAGCATTATTCCTTCGGATCGTTTCAATTCCTTCTAGGTTTCTTCTCGAACTTTTCATCGAAGCTTCAAAAACCAATCAATTTTATTCCATCTCACTACCGCTTCCCTCCCCCACATCCAAGCGAGAAGGGTTGTTACGGTAGGCAAGAGCTTCGCCATTTCCCCCCTCCCCTCGCCTTGTCGATCAAGATACCGGTACCTTCCTTCCAGTCTCTCTAGTTAACTCTTTCCCAATAACTCCTTTTAATTCCCTTCATTTCAATTATCATCTCAACGCTCGCAACCTTCTATCACACCAACACCATCTCATCTCCTACCTCGTTAGAGTCTCGTTCCAATATAGAGAGGGCGGACTCAAAGCTCAACCTATTCAATAAGGTCCTGGTAGGTGTTACCTTTACTCCACTTTCCCCGTGGATTCATTAATTCTAGTACAAAGTACTGAAGCTTGTATGTACACAATAGAAAGGAAGTTGCTCTGGATACATCAATCATTTCCATCAACTTTCTAGCTGTCAGTGGCATGTTCTCTTTACGCTCCCTTCACATTGACTCACTGCATGCACTTCTCATGAGCTCTCACTAAATTGTTTTACCATCATATAGATTGCACCAACTTCATCCGTCGACTCCTTCTCAATTCCGCCTTATCTGCCGTGGAATCCTCTTCTCGATTCACCCGATTACATTGTCGCAATTTTATGAATCTTCACTAGTCTGTAAACAAAGCATTGAGCTGTTTACCTCACATAACGAGTTCGAATGTCACTACCGTCGGTGTACTTGACCGAAATCGAGTCCCTCAGTCAAGAAATTATTAGAAATCAGCCTACCGATATTTTACAATTCTGTGCCAACTATTTTAGTCAACGTCTAGAAACTGAGCGCACTGGGTTTCTGTCAGCTCGCAATAGATCATATCGTTCCGTATCACCAGGGACAGCAAATCGGCCGAGAATGGCTGGAAACACATTTCCTGGTCGGCTTGGAACTCACGCCAATCCTTTTGGTGGTGATGGAAATGGTTTAGGACATGAACAAGCGGTTCCCGGCAATATTTCAAAAGTCATAGAGGAGGATGAAAATGATACGATAACATCACCAACAACACCAAATTTTGGATTCTCAAAGGGAGTCCCTTCGTTTGGAGCTTCGTTTGGACCTTCTTTTGGAGCTTCATTCGGAGGAGATGCAAGTACCGGAGACTTTCCACCATCTTCTTTCAAACCTGCGAGCGAAGGATTTCCCGAGCATTACGGCATGGGAAGGCGCACTTCTGTTTCCGCCGAATCTCTCAACCCAACAGCTTCATCCAACGATAACTGGTCTCCACCCTTTCATCAAAAAACACCGGATCAAGTAGCACGCTTGAAGAAGTCAATTTCTGGAAACTTTCTCTTTAGCCATCTTGATGACGAACAAAGCGCTCAAGTACTAGGTGCTCTCGTAGAGAAGCCAATTCCTGCCGTTGGTATCAAGGTACGTGTAGCTTCAATTGTTGAGCCTTTTGAACCCCACTAATCTAATCTAGGTCATCTCACAAGGTGATCAGGGAGATTTCTTCTACGTAGTCGAGAAAGGCTCTTTTGACGTACATGTCAACTCCACTGGCTCACTGCAACCAGGTCCCGATGGTCTCGGGACCAAGGTAGCCACCATTGAGCCTGGTGGATCCTTTGGTGAACTCGCCCTCATGTATAACGCCCCCAGAGCAGCCACAGTTATATCTGCAGAGGCTTCCTGCACTCTCTGGGCTTTAGATCGTATAACTTTCCGCCGAATTCTCATGGATTCAACATTTCAGCGCCGTCGTCTCTATGAAAGTTTCCTCGAAGAAGTGCCACTTCTCTCAACTTTGACCCGTTATGAAAGGTCGAAAATTGCTGATGCTTTGGAGACACAGAAATACCCACCTGGTACTTCGATCATAAATGAAGGAGATGCCGGAGAGGCATTCTATCTTCTTGAGAGTGGAGAGGCCGAGGCATACAAGCGTGGTGTAGATAACCCAGTAAAATTATACCACAAGGGAGACTATTTCGGAGAATTGGCGTTACTAAATGATGCTCCCCGAGCTGCTAGTGTTGTTAGCAAAACCGAAGTAAAGGTAGCTACCCTTGGCAAAAACGGGTTCCAGAGGTTATTGGGACCGGTTGAAAGTATTATGAGAAGAACAAAATATGAGGGCGTGGAGAGCATTGATCCCCTTCACCAGAACTAAAGGATAGTTGGTTTGGAATGGATTCGTTTTACTTGATGGCGTTCAGATACAGGTTACGTTCGTTCATGAGATGATCAAATGGACTAGGGATTATTAGTGGGCAATACCTGAGATGCAGACAAGAGTCAGATTTTCAATCACTTTGCAATTGTATTATTGATGCTGTTAGCGAACTGCTTTTGAATGCTAATTAGTCTTACACCATGCATCTTTTATCCTGACGTCTCAAATCATAATCTTGTGATGTAACCTCAAGGATGCCAAAACCGTAGACATAAACATCTCAACAGTGGTACTGAATCTTGTCCACATTCGACCCTTCGCGGTTCAGATATCATGTAGTCTCAACCAGAGCCTGGCGAGTAATTTCATCCCATTTCCCTCCTCTCTATCCCATATCTTACATGCTCCCAATTCAGAATTAGCTAGCACCTGCTCTTCTCCTGTCCAAAATCTCCCTCCTAATACCTTCAGCTGCCACCTCTGTCTCCAACACCCTCCCGATACCCTTCTTCCACCCTTCCTCTAGACCCCTAATCTCCGCCTCCGCCGCCTCCTGTGCATTCTTCCTCCCAATTACCACAAGATCAATCTCATCTTTCTTTGCGGCGACCTCCCTCTCCAACCCCTTCAATATATCCTCCAACTGCGCGTTTCCAATCAACCAAGCATTTTTCCCAAATTGATCGAGGAGAGAGAGATTGGTAAGACGCGTATTTAAATAGGTTTGAGAGGTGTAGGCTTGGGAGAGGAGCGTCTGAGCTGGGAGCGTCGAATCTGCGGGGGAGAGTGTTTCGTAGCGGGTTAGGTCGATGGCTTTTAGAGGGGGTGGAGGGGTTGAAGAGGATATGCGAGCGTGTTCTGCGGTGAGGGCGGGGGAGAGATTGGAGGGGAGAAGAGCCGGGAGAGAGGGGTGTGGTGTGGATGGGGAGTTGGGCTCGAGCGAGCTGGTTATGAGGGATTCGGCGGCGGCGCGTTCGGAGGGGGTAGGTTCGATGTCGATGTATGGGAGGGATTCATGGATTTCGTTTATGAGAGGCATTTTGGAGTGGAGTTTGGAGTAAAGTTTGAGGATTGGGGTGATGGATTATGAGGTCGAGGTGTTCGATGCGAGGGAGCTTGAGATTTGGTTGAAATTTGTATAAGCACCAATTCGCGATTGTATATTTCCTTTCGTGTTTTTAGGTATTCCCGATATAGACGGATTGTGATAGATCGTAGCAACTAATTTTGAAATTGGATATAAGTGCTTGGAAAAAGTTGATGTGTTTGTTTGTTCGATATAATAAATATAAATTTCTTATGTGCAAGTCAAACACGCCCAGAAGCTTAAGGTTTGCCTTGCGCGCCAGGCTCGCTCCACTAAGGGAGCTTGACTGGGGACCAAGGAACCAGCCGCCACTCCCGCCTCAAGCTTTAAGCTACCAACTCTACATTGTTCACCATGGGATGATGTATTGACATTCCCATACTTCATAGGGACTATATTATCATCAAAATAAAATTGTAAAGTATCGTTAGCTTTGAAATTATGGAGCGGGATCCGGAAATGAAGATCGGTCTTCTCGACCAGAACCGACGTGAGCATAGACAGAATAACTCCCGCCCAAATCGATTTTGGATGAATGTCGTTGGAGCAATTGTCATTGTTGTAACTATATTATGTTTATGTGATTCTTCCAATGGCGGATCTTTGCGAAAGGGGCTTTGGGTATGGACGGATGGGGATTACAAAAATATCGGCAATCAACAGTATGGTAGTTCAGAGGGGAGCCAGTATTTACTGGGGGTTGGAAAAGCAGATATCACTGGGTACGAATCTTGCATTTCAATATAGTGATACAATACTAACACTTATTAGTCCAGTTGTGGAAATAAATATGATGGGATATGCAGATACCAAGCAAGTTGGATCGGGGTTACGACAACGCCTTTATTCTCGAGCCTTTATTGTAGGAGATATCGACCGGCCGGAAGACCGGTTCGTCTATCTCGTTCTGGATACGCAGTCGGGAGATACTGCTGTTAGATATGGGATACTGGAAGGTCTCGCAAATCTAGGTAGTGATTATGCTGTGTATGGACAACAGAATGTAGCCGTGACAGGCACACATTCTCATTCTGGTCCCGGGGCATGGCTGAATTATCTACTACCCCAAATTACCAGCAAAGGATTCAGTAAACAGAGTTATCAGGCTATAGTAGATGGAGCTGTTTTGTCTATCCAAAGAGCTCATACCAGCCTTCAACCTGGATATCTGAATGTCGGTTCGACGAAAGTTTTTGGGGCCAATATCAATCGAAGTTTATATGCCTATCTGGCAAATCCGGAAGAGGAACGAGCAAAGTACAATGCCAGTACTGAGGATGATGGATCTGTCGAGAAGGACCTCACTCTTTTGAAATTCTCACGAGCTTCTGACGGGAAGAATATTGGGGTCTTGACATGGTTTCCTACACACGGAACTTCAATGCTGGGGAACAATACTCTTGTTTCGGGAGATAACAAAGGTGTCGCTGCAGATCTCTTCGAAAAGAGTGTACTTCAGGAGGACAATGCAGCTGAAGGATTTGTAGCCGGGTTCTCGCAAGCCAATGTTGGTGATACAAGCCCGAATGTTCTTGGTGCTTGGTGTGAAGACGGTTCCGCGCAGCAATGTAGTTTTGAAAACAGCACGTGCAGTGATGGCAAAAGCCAGTACTGCCATGCTCGTGGTCCTTTCTTCCGCGTAAAGGATAATGGTGCATCGTCTTGCCACGAAGTTGGCAAGAGGCAATTCCAGCCTGCCAAGAAATTATACGACGAGACTGAGGCAAAGTTGACTGCTGTTTCGGGATCGTCCGTGAAATCGTTCCATACATTTCAAGATATGTCAAACTTCTCTTTTCCTTTGGACAATGGAAGTTACGTTCATACGTGTCCAGCTGCTTTGGGGTATTCCTTCGCGGCTGGAACCTCTGATGGGCCAGGTGCATTTGATTTCACTCAAAATGATCCCAATACACCAAATGCTTCGCCCGTGTGGCGTGTCGTGTCCGGTCTCATTAAGGCACCAAGCAAGCAACAACAGCGTTGCCATTACCCCAAACCTATTTTACTTGACGTTGGCGAGATCACAACACCTTATTTGTGGACACCCAATGTAGTCGATGTGCAATTACTTCGAGTCGGACAACTTTTCATCATTGTCAGTCCTGGAGAAGCAACAACGATGTCTGGTCGTCGCTGGAAAGAAGCCATTCACGACTCCGCCGCATCAACCATCCTCTCCGACTCATCCTCTCCAGACCCAATCGTGGTCATCGGAGGCCCAGCTAATAGCTACACACACTACATTGCCACTCCCGAAGAATACGGGATCCAACGCTACGAAGGCGCCTCTACTCTCTACGGCCCCTACACCCTCAACGCCTACATCAACCTCACACTCTCCCACCTCCCTTTCCTCAGTCCAACCTCCGTTTCTCAACCCCCACCCGGCCCGCTCCCTCCAAACAACGTCAATAAATCCCTCTCCTTCATAACCGGCGTCGTCTATGACGGCCACCCCATCTTCACCTCCTACGGTGATATCAAAACCGACGTCTCCCCCTCCTATCCCCTTTCTTCCTCTCCCATCATAACCGCTACATTCATCGGCGCCAATCCACGCAATAACCTCCATCTCGAATCAACTTATGCCTCTATCGAAATGTTCATCCCCGACACCTCTAAATGGGTCCGAGTTCGCGACGATAGCGATTGGAGCCTTATATTCGAGTGGAAGAAAGTAAGCGAGATTTTGGGCACGAGCGAAGTAACTATTACGTGGGAGACGGAGGAGTGGGCTCAGAAGGGTCGATATCGAATTAGATATTTTGGCGATTCCAAGGCGGTGGGGGGCGCGATTACGCCGTTTGAGGGGGTGAGTGGGGTGTTTGAACTTGTGTAGTGAGGGGTTCGATAGGGCTTCCTTTTTTTTATGGGTTATGGTTATGGTTATGGTTATGAGCATCGGACGGGGGGATTTGGTAATATGGGTTTAGGGGATGGGGTAATGGTATACATGCATAATTGGATTGGCATAGCATGGACAGGTTAAATTGCTAATAATGTCAGGATGACAGAACGGTTATATTGGATTGTAAATTATATTTTGATATATTGACTTCACTTGGAACATTCATACCACTGGGATTTGGATTCGAGTTTGGAGATCGATATCAACCTATATGATGAAATTGAGTGGAAATCTATACATCATTTGGGACATTGTGATTCTCAATTATAACATGATTAATCTGTCTAATTGTGATTTTATACTTTTTTAATTTGCTGGGTATTATACTGTATAGACAAGCTCGCGCTCAAGACAACACCAAAATGTGGAAAATTCCCCCAATCTCTCATTCAAGTATGTAACCCAATCTTCGCCAATAAACTCCATCATATCACCATGTCTCCACATTATCGTAAATTCAACTCATGGCTGCTCTCTTCAGTTTTATTCTCTCTCTTTGATCTACCTTCCATGCATCTTCGAAAAGCGTTGGCTTTACTTTTAGATCCTCCGGGCTAAGATCTAATGCTCTGACAACCTTGAATGCACCTGTACCAACGCCCATTGTCTGTCCCATGATGATACACTCACTAACACCCTCGATTCTATCCGTCTTCATGCCCGCGGCCGCATCGAAAAGATGATCTGGTGTTTTCTCAAAGGATGCAAGTTGCAATACACTATCTCTCATTTTGGAGAGACCGAAACGTGTGATACCTAAGACTTCTCCCTTGTACGTCATGACATCGGCAAGAAGTTGCATGTGACGAGGATCGATGTCCATGTCTGCCATAACGGTTGCAATTTCGTTGGCGATTGTGGAACGAGCGGCTTCAATACCGAGGACATCACGCATCTCCATGACACTGTTAGATTTGACTTTGGTGCCGTCGACACCTTCAGTTCCGATACAGGCACGGAGACCATATCCTTCGACGACGACGGTGTACTCTGGCACCGCATCTTCAGATGTGTTGATGATAGCTCTTGTGGCTTCTGGATATCCAGATATTGCCAATTCTGGCACAGCGCGCTTGAGGTGATGTACACGAAGTAGAAGGTCAGAACCGCCCTCATCGAGGGAAGGTTTTCCTTTAGCTGCAGCTCCTCGAGCTGTGGTGGGAGCGCTACCATCGTGTGTAACGTTGATGAAGATGCAATTCCCTTTGACGTGTAAATCCTCGCTTCGGACCTTGAGTTTCTTGTTTTTCAAAATGGTATGTGCAATATTCTCCACAGTAACTTCGATTTGCCTGTTTACCAAATATTCCGTGTCTACAGCCAGACAGATTATGGCAGATTTCGCTGACCACATGTCCTCGGCAAAATGAAGAACTTCATGCAGATAGGTCTTCTCCATACGAGCTTTGACGAGACGGGCTACTGACAATTCTTTAGAGTTGAGCAGAGGGCATTTGACGAATGGCGTAGCAATCGTCTTTGAAGCGTTGATAATTTCCTTGATACGGGGTACACCTGCTGTCAAGTTCATACCAGCGACACCAGCAAAATGGAAAGTTTTCAAGGTCATTTGTGTTCCCGGCTCTCCGATCGATTGTGCACCAACAGCTCCGACGGCATGACCTGGCTCAACCTTGGCTCTGGAGTACTTTTCTAGACAAAGTTCGCAAAACTTCTTAATGTAGGTCTCGGAAACCTTGGCAACTTGGTTGACATAATCTCTTGATTCCGGCCACTCGTCTTTCTCGTTGTAAAGGATGCCCGTAGCTTCTGGGTCATCTACGAAATCATGAAGCCCAGCCTTCGTACGTACTCTACCCATGTGTGATGCTTTTTCTCCGATGAACTTGTTGACAGCAGCAAGGAACTCCCGACCACCATCATGCTCATCCACGCCGTAGTCGCTGGCATCGTCATAACTTAATGGTTCTCCATTGCGTAGTCCAAATCTAGAAAATTTGGCTTTAAATGTTGCCAAGTGTTCCGCACATTGTTTGGTAACCTCGTATGGTAGAAGTGATCTTTCCTCATTGTTCCATGTAAGAGTCTCTGCTTGAGTCCAGGTTCGCTTGAAATTGACAGGAACTGCATTCCCCTCCATGTCTAGGGGATCCAGTCCGTCGGCACCAAATTGGAACTGAACAATTCCACCACCAGAAGTTCTAACAGTGTCGTCATATTGTGTCGACAAATCCTCCAGTGATTTCATGAGTCGTCGTGACATGTAACCTGTTTCTGCTGTTTTGACTGCGGTATCGACTAAACCTTCACGTCCGGACATTGCGTGGAAAATAAATTCATAAGGAGTCAATCCTGTGAAAAAGCTGTTCGCTACGAAACCTTTGGCAGGAGGCTGTTTAGAATGTTTCGGGAAATGGGGAAGTGTTCTATCTTGAAAGCCTTCTTGGACACGAGAACCTCCAATAATTTGTTGCCCTACCAGCGCCACCATCTGCGCAACGTTAATTGCTGAACCCTTTGATCCCGAATTAGCCATTACTAGCGGGGAGCTTGAAGCGTATAAGGTTCTCAGACACTCTTTTCCAGCTGCACCACGAACTTGACTGAGCTTTCCGGAAAGTTTAGCTTCAAGGGTCTCCTCCATACTCAAACCTGTAGATTTTTCCAATGTATTGTTCTTGAAACTTTCGATCAATTGCTCACACTCTACATAAGCAGCAGCGATCAATCTGGCTTTACTCTTGTTGAGTTCTTCGGAAGGATAGACATCGCTGATTCCTATAGAGAACCCCATATTCGTCAGGTACCGAGCAGAAAGCTTAGACAGCCGATTCATGGCCACAACTGCTGCGTCTGGACCATAATCTCGCAATATGACATAGAAAATAGAGTCCTTCTTTCCAGATCCAACTGTGCTCTTGTCCATGAGACCACACATTACTTCTGAATTTCGAATCACTAGCCATCCGTCATTGGCTTCCATGTCATTTGCAAACCCTGTTGGTACCATACTTGGTACGAAATCTCGACATTTTGCGTCAACGTTAACGAGGATATTATCTTGCTTATTTGGGCGCATGAGAATGCTGAAAACTTGTTTGCCAGTCCAAAGGGCTTGTGGCTTCAGAATGGCTGGCTCAGGAAGTTGCAAATGAAGGTTTGCGTCGACCATGTACATACAAATATTTGTGAAGGTCTTGCGATCGAAAAAGTTCTCTTTATTAGAGAGTAAATAAGCTGCAGTGATGAAATCCTGGGTAGCAGAAATAATAGGTTCTCCGTTCTTGGGAGTGGAAAGATTATTTTTCACTCCCATAAGATTGATCGCCTCGGTTCGCGCCTCCTCTGTTTGCGGTACGTGAAGATTCATTTCATCACCGTCGAAATCTGCATTGTATGGATTACAAACACACTCATTCAGACGGAATGTTCTCCAGGGTCGAATTTTGGCATAATGACTCATGATACTGAGCTTGTGCAGAGATGGCTGACGATTGAAAAGTACAATATCACCATCCTCAAGATGTCTTTCAACAACGTCTCCTATCTTGAGGAATTTTGCCTCATTATCCCGCTTGGCAAATTTCAAAGATATCTTATGGTTGGAATCTTTCTTGACGATTTGTTGCGCACCAGGATGAACATTTGGTCCGTTGATAACACACTGACGCAGTTTTTCGATGTTCTGACGTTGAACCCTTTCAGGATATGTAAGATTCTTTGCCACCAATATAGGAACGGCAACTTCGTCGATACCAAGATTCGGATCGGGAGAAATGACGGTTCGTCCAGAGAAGTCCACACGTTTTCCAGACAAATTACCTCGGAAACGACCTTGTTTTCCTTTCAACCGTTGACAAAATCCTCGAATCGCCTTTCCGAAACCAGGTTGCTGAAGACCTGGAACGTCGCTGTTGACATACATGGCGATTTGTAGTTGAAGAAAATCCCATTGCTCCATAATTGTTTGAACTGCCTGACCTTTGTGTAGTGCTGCTCTTAGCAAAGAGGCCATGCTAACAATCTCGGCAAGTTTGGTGGTAATATCATCCTCATTGCTTCCTCCATCTTGCTGAACAGATGGCCTAATGCAGATTGGGGGTGCCGGAACGAACTGCCATAGAAACATCTCAGGGCGACCTTCAGCGGGATTGATTCCAAGAAGTTCGCAATCGCTCGGCGTAATCAACTTGAATAGGTTCAGTACCCTCAATGGGTGTAGATCCTCATACACTTTCTTTACATGTTTCTCCAACTCTGTATTGTGCTTCTTTGCTTCTTCGAAGGATTTTTGGTATTCAGCCATTCCAGGTGGAACTACCTTCTTAGCTGCAGTAGACTTGTTGTATTTTGTGTATTTGTCATGTGCCAATCGAACGGGACTGATTTTTCTGATTTGACCGTTGGTAGCATTGCAATGGGGGCATTGACTTGCTTTTCGACATTGTTCGTTGATCTTCTTACAGATTTGCGTGCGCTTTAGATTGTCGATACCCGGCTTTCGTAACTCTTTTAAGAATTGTCGTCGCTCGGCATCAGTGAGTAGAACTCTGGCGCATGTCTTTGAAGGTCAGCATCCGGCTACTCGCACGGAGATCAAGCTTTGGAAATACCTTGCAAACGTTTTGTAAAATCATGATAATTAATTTCAAGTATCCAATGTGAAAAGCTGGAAGCGGTAATCTAACATGACCAAAATGACCATTGCAGTCTTGGAGACCTTTATCACAAGTATCGCAACGCCCAGATTTGCTGGAAGTACCCTGGGAGAGCGCATTAGTAGGTAAAATTCATAGATCGAGACGGATTTCCCCTACCAATCTTGGGTCAACAGGGCCATGGGGAATAGCAGTCCGACCAGCGTCGACATTATATAGCATTTTATTCGAAACCTCTATAACACCCTGGTTGACAATGTCTTGGTTTGACTGGATTCCGAATTTCAATTCTTTGAATCGTTTCGGAATCTTGTCGACGACTTGCGCCTTAATCGACATGCCGCTGGACATCATGGGCATACTGTTTATGTGCTACCGGCAATGATGCATAGACAGGTGAAGCTATTCGAGGATGTGCTTAAGATTATGTTGAGCTTTTTTGCTATCGCATTATTGTTCCAACAGGATCGGATTGAGTAAAATTCGGGGTGTCGAAGTTGGTGGGCAGCGTGATGATGATGGAGATGTCAAGTCAAATTGGTAGATTCGGATTTGATCCGCAGAAATTTTGGTATGGTTGGTTCCGAAAAAAAAAAGGTTCAGCCTGGCACATTCACTGTAGAACCGAACCCCGCAATCATGAAGCTCATTTCAAGCCTTGCTTTATCGGGACTAGCGCCAATCCTTATCCACAATGATAAGAGTTCTTCACTCGAGGTCTCTAAGGAGAGGACAGGAATCCTTTTAGATGTGGCTTGAATGCCAAAAGAATGGTACAACACATCCATACAGATGATTGCTTGCATTGCATCCGCTTAGTTGCAGCGCGGCATAGTTATGATGAAAGTTTATTGAAGATCTAGATAGTTCGATATCCATATCCATGTTCTAGTACTCCAAGATGTACTTTAACCGTCTAATTTGCATAGGATTTCTGGTACTGATTGGTGGTTCGAATTGTGATTCGTCAATGGGAAGATATCGTTTTTTGAACTCAGTGTATATCACACACAATATACATGTATATACTACCCCCTCAGACGATATCTACTATTGCAAATCTCACATTGAATTGAATTCGTACAGTGATTATGTATCCGAGATTTTCAATCCCCTTGGAGCTTGAAGATTTCTACTGGAACTTCACATCCTTTCCAAGACTAAAATCTCTCGACCACATTGCGGCAATTTAGATAGCTGTGTAGTTGAGACTTGATATAAAGGTATCATTAAATATTTATGCATGAAGTATTCCTATACTCCTTTCCGAACTTAACATTCTAAACTCATCTCTTCCCTAAGAAGTCATATGCTTCCCATCCTCCCCACCGCGTAATGCAAGAAAAGCTCGTACATCCGTCACATACTGGAGTCCTTCCAAAAGGGGTACTAGATGTAGCAGATCATTATCCGTGGGATCATTGATCCACCCTTCTATGGGTATTGCATTATCTGTCGAATTGTTAGCTTGATTCGATACCTCATATTGATATATATTCACCTTGATGGAACAGATAGCTCACAGGGCTATTGTCTAAAATCATAACTTTACTAAGATCAGGCTCAACAGAGCTGAGATCTTTAATAAAGGCGCCGTTTCGATAGGTACAGTGCTGTCGATAATATCGTGCAGAAAAGAATTTACGCTCTTGTTCTAGCAAATCTATAACCGGGTCTGCGTAATCTTGAAGTGATGCCGTGAAAACAACCAAGTTATACCACTTGCAGACCTGCGAATCCTGTCAGTGAAATTCCTTTATGGCGTACATAGCTGCTTACACGTCGCAAAAATTCATCGCAGTATGGCCTCTTATTCACATAATACAATATTGGATGTTGAGGACCAGCGCCCCCTGCACCCATGAGATTTGTGATTTGTACTTCCACCATATGGCCAGCACTCATTCGACCTCCATAATTCATACTGTGTATCAAAGTTTCGTCCAGGTCGAGAATAAGAGTTTTCTGGGTGAGTTTGCCCACGGGAGCATCAAGAGTATAGGATGGTTGTCGTCGAGGTATGAGGGGTCGCGGTGGTGCTGGAGCTCGTGGATATTTTGTCATGAGGAGAGAGGAAGTTGCGGGGGACGTAGGTGACTTCATCATCGCAGCAGCCATGTCGGTAGCGGACATGGAGCCGCCGGATCCATCACTCTGAGTAGTTGTTGACGATGCCTTCCGGTGCTTCCGCTGCCTCAAATTTTCATCGCTGTGAATCTCGATGCGAATGGATCTCCTCGCGGGTGAGATCTCGTCAGAACTTTGCAAGGATTTTGAACGTGTTTGGCGATTCGACGTTTTCGTTGCAGATTTGTCTGTCTCGCTAAGGAGCCGGTCGTTGTCTGATTCAGACTCAGATGAGATGAGGGACGAGGAATTCGGCGAGGGAGAATCTCTCGATGAGGATGCGTGTACCGCCGAAAACTTCCCGTTGGCCAAATGACTTATATTACTTTTCTCGGAAATGGGCGATCCCCCCGTCGATTGTGTGATTGAATGCCCAGTCGTGCCACCAAATAGTTTTCTGAATTGAGATATTGGGGCAAAATGACCCCGTTCATTATACAAGCAAGCTATAACGTATACCCCCGGCGCAACAAGAGTAGATAGCACCCATCGTATAGAGTCATAAAGCATTCTCGTTATACCCACATGTTCACTTGTATGATAAGCCATGCCTTCCTTGTGTAGTAGTGGTGTAGATTCGTGTATTGTATTTTCATCATCGGCATTCGAGTTCTGGCGCACTCGTCTTGATCCAGTCCTTTCGGCTCCTCGCTGTATACCTCTTCCCGCGAATTCCTTCTAGATTCTGACGTAGTTACGGATGCCAATACATTTCCCAGAGAATTTGAACGCGAAAGTGAAGGAGAGTGGGTAGGAGAGCCTCGCCCCGAAAGGATATTCAAAGAATTCATAATGGTTTCCGATCCATGGAGGAAGGTTTCTAGCAATCGACCATAAACAATGGAGATGCGCGATAATCCAACTAAAAACGCTAGGAGCGCAAAGCTCCAAAAGTCTATGATATATGAGTTCGGTTCGGAAAGTATACTTGCGTTTATCTTTCCTAAAATCCCGAATGGTGTTTTCGCGCAAGTTATCGTCGACTTGAATGAAAAAATGGAAAGGAGTGAAGGTTGTGAATTATTGGTATATCGTAGAAGCGTATCGTTGTTAGTGTACTCGAGTAGGTATGGGGTGCTCCGTACGGTACAGGTATATGTAAAGTACAAAGGCAAAGTCGCTGCTCTGATCAAAAAAGGATCTTGGAGAAGAGATTAAAACAAGCTAAACTTTTGGAGGAAATCGCTGTTCTAGATGAAGAAAATGATTGACCTCGGAAGAAACAGAGGAAGGGGGAGAGGGGGAGAATGGGAAAAAGCGTGTAGATGGGAGTGGGAAGGGGAATTATAAGTTATGAGAATGTCGACGAGGATGAGTGAGCGTCCGAATTATAATGATCACATGAAACCGTGTTAATATCTGGGTAGGTACAGTACAGTTCCAGATTATCTTCAACAACACAACACAACACAATGGGAAGGAGGGATTGTTCACAAGTAGGACAACACGATTGGGGATGGCTGATGAGTGAATGGATACGAATGCTAGTATACTGCGGGTTGTTGAATGCTTTCCAATTGCACTCGCTGCACTCACTCCTTAATGCAAACTCACTGTTCAACTCCTAGACCGTTCTCGAGGAGTTACTTCCTTCTGCTTAATTAGGTTCGGTTGGGAGGTACGGTTGATATAGTTTGCATTCGATCATCTGTATGGTGAGGTTTCTCATTTTGATGGAACCTGCCCCCCTAGATTACCTCGATACGGACCAGATAGTCTTCGTTCAAGGTCAAGCTTCGCAAGGAGGCCGGTATTATTCACAGAGTGACAGAGTGACAGAGTGTACGTAGTGGACTCTGTGCTGTACCTAGGTAGGTAGCAAAAGCATCATACAGTCCATTGCGCTTTGAAACCACACGAAACTCTAAGATACACGATAGCTGTTCATTCAATCCCATTCCGAGGCTGTATTATCTTGAAGAAGAAAGAATTATTGAATTGATGTTGCTTTTTACACTGGAATTGGGAATATGGATCTTGGATCTTGGATCTTCCGAGTTGCGTTCAAAAAGTAATAAATCTATGATCCCCTTCATCCTGAGTCACCCGTCCCCGCACTTTTAGCATTCTAGTATCGTAGTAGGTCTGCCAAAAAAGAGATCTTCAACGAACACAATTCTTTTATGCTCTGCAAAATTGAGACATAAGTTAGGATAGGATACAACTTTCAAGGTATCCATTCAAAATTCGACATTGGGAAGAACCCGAATACGACAGTAACAGTGACAGTATCAGTAACTCCAAACAATTCAAATCCGATTCAGAAATCCCCATCTGCAAAACTTCATCGAGGGGCAATCGCACTCCGCACAAATATTCGACCTCGTCAACTCCAAGCAACCACACACCACTTACTACCCGAAATCTTTCCCCTCGAAATTTATCCACCTCCAAACTTTGACCGTCACATCCAATCTTTGAATCAAAAGAGATATGCCTCCAGTTCATAGTGGAGGGTATGCGCCAAACCTTGGTGCATACTTAAAATCATTAAAGAGTCAACCAGTTGAGTCATCCATAGAAAATTTGATATCGTATGTACCCTTCCATAATCTTCAATCAACAAACGACTAACACATTCCAGACTCTTAAAACGACGACAGATAAGGACTTCGAGATCATGCGCCATAGCTACAGCTCATTTACTACTCCAAGTTGTCGCAAAGCAAAGATGGACGGATATCACAAAGCTTTTGGAACGGGTTCGGAAAGTAGGACAAAGGTTGATTGAAGCACAACCAAGGGAAATGGTCGTTAGCAATATCGTTCACAGAGTCTTGGGTATGATCAGAGACGAAGCAAAAGAGGATCGCAGCGAGGATGTCAGTGATTCAGCATCGACAAGTCAAATTGGTTCGCCCATGCGTGAGGGCTTCAGCGATGTGGCATTACCAAGGGCGTCACACAGCTCGCGGCCTCCTCTAACAACATCACACACTTCCTATGCTGCCCAGTATAACATGCCTGTGCAGCAATCAATGTTCAACCTCCTCTCCGCTGCCCCTTCGCCGGCCTCCACGCCCCCAGGAACCGCGTCTCCTCATGGCAGATCTGTGGTAGATATGACTTCACTTGCGCATAAGATGGCCTCTAGCACGAAGGATCTCAAGGCCGAAATCATACAGGGTATCGAGGAAATTATCGAGGAACTCGATCAAGTCGATGATCAAATTTCTAGTTATGCGCAGGAGCAAATTTCTGAGAAAGAAGTTATACTCATTCACGGCTCTTCAAGGAGTGTCCAAAAGTTCCTACTGAAAGCCGCGGAAAAGAGAAATTTTATTGTAATAGTTGCTGAATCGTACCCAAATGACCATTCTACGACTCATTCTACGATTACTGGAAAAGGAGAGCAAGAGACCGATGACGATTCGGACGCAGAGACCATGTTAAAGCCACTTGCGGCTGCTGGAATCACGGTTATTGCGATAACAGATGCTGCAGTATTTGCAGTAATGCCGAGAGTTACCAAGGTTATTTTGGCTACTCATACTGTTATTGCTAACGGTGGATTGGTAGCCGCAGCTGGCGCACGCATAATAGCAAAAGCTGCAAAGTTTCATAGAATTCCAGTCATTGTTGTTAGCGGTGTCTATAAGCTCAGTCCGGAATATCCTTTCGAGTTTGAATCGCTCATTGAATATGGCGATCCTGGAAATGTAGTTGGATTTGAGGCCGGTGGGTTTGTAGATAAGGTTGAAGTCGACAATCCTCTTTTCGACTATGTCTCCCCCGATTTAGTTGAACTTTATATTACCAACTTGTAAGTTTTCACAATGTAATTCGATGAATACTACTAACAAATTCAACAGAGGAGCCCATGCGCCGTCTTATCTATACAGGATAGTTGCAGAGCACTACAAACCGGAAGACATAAATTTTCATAAGCCAGAACTCCAATTGTAAATGTAATTAGGTGGTTTGAAAAATGAGAATAATCTTCTACGGCTCCAATTTGATTCCATGTTATGCACTTCTTTTGATGGGGGTAATTAATTAGGCTCTGTCTGTACAGCTTTCACTGCAAGCATAAACTTTATACTGAAGAGCCCCCAGCTCTGATTGCGAAAGGTATGATTCTACAGCCTAGTAGTGTACGAGGAATCCATCTATGGAAAGCTCCAAAGGCATCGCAATACTAGGATGTTCGGAGCTCGTGCTTTGAGCCAAGCTCTAGTGGTGGAATTATCGATATCAATAACTTGGATCACAATGACGTTTGTAATGCAACCAGCAAACGGTATATTCTCTTGGTACCAATAGTCATTCTCGACTCTCTTGCTACCGTGGCTGCCTTCATTCGAACGCGTAATCTTGCAGAATGGTGACTTATCTTCTCGTTTAAGCATGTTGTGAGACGGAAGGGGGACAGAGATTGGCAGATATGAGTGATTGCTGATGTGGGGGTGCTGATCTACGACAGGGCTGAATATATAGCTCTATTGAGTCGATCAGGTTGCCTTTTGTTGAAAAGCTCAAGCTATTACCATTTTCTAGGATTTTATCCAAACATTCCTTTCTTGCTCTATCCTTCGTTGTTGTCAAAATACCATCTTGCCACCATTACTTCTTCAGTCGTTGCGATCTGTAGTTTTGGAACCATGGATCAGACTGCCCCTCCTCCATATAGCGAAACCGATGTCTTTTCAAATACCAATACTACGATCCCAACACCCACAACGACAGAAGCAGATGATGCATCAAGAGTGAATGGAAGAGCTCGGTCAGATTCATCATCGACGGAAAATTCGTTGATATATACTCCTCCTTACTCACCAAACGAGCCTGATGATCAACGTAAGCACATTTACTTTAGCTCCTTGATCGAACGGTGCGCTCGTCTCGTACAGAGATTCATTTGCATATTTAATGGAAAGAGCAAGAGAGCTTAGTTGGAGGTTGAATTTTTTTGGTGTTTTACATAGCTCCTAACCCCCTGCTATTCTAGATTCAGAAAACAGTCCCAGAAATCTATCTCCTCACAACTACTTCGAGTCACGACCATTACCGCTGCAATTTTCAGCTCCCAGAATTACTCAGCATGAAATATGTGTTACCCTGAGAAGTGCACCAGATGATATCCCCATCCCATCTTCCGCGCCAGACTATGGCATCACACAGCAAGATTGGTCAACGTTTGTGAACTACTTACTACCAAACCACACCCTCAATGTCAACCACGATGTTGCAAACCGTAAGCTCAAAGCTGAATTAATTGACGAGCGCATGCACAGACTTACGCTCAATGAACATGATTATTCTAGACTTGACATGAATGAAGTTCAAGCGCAGCTTCGTCCTCTTCGTCACCCCATCACTGCATCCAATACGGATTGGATAGGACGGGTGGATGAAGTGATCAAAACTTGGAATTCTGGGTTCTTTCTTCCTCGTGGATTGGAGATTCTTCGCATTGATGTCGAACAGCCTGAGTTATTTCGGGATAGAGACAATAACATTCCTGGTTCTTGGATACCAGATGAAGAAGAAGAGTCGCGCTTTCCCGAGCGAAACCGGGGTCGGAGAGGCTTTTTGAGTTGTTATTCTCCGTGTGGTCAAGGGACTCGGAGGTTCAGGCTAGGTTCTATGGTTGCGGATGATGAGGGACTCAGAATTGGAAGGAACGGTGTTGTGGCCAACTCGAACGGTTTGCGTATTGGTAACATGTTTGTTGCTGATGATAAGGGAGTGCGAGTTGGTGGTAGTCGAGGGATTGTAGCTGATGAAAATGGAGTTGGTATTGGCGGTCGTCGGTTCGGAGGTAGAGGGAGAGGCAGTATGCATGCGCCGGAGATTAATCGAGGACGGGAACAAGAGCCAGAAGGATGGCATAGGAGGAACGGATGGGGAAGAGGGGGCACACACTCGCGAGAGGCTAGCGGGAGATGGGCAGAAAATCCAGAAGGACGGTATGAAAGAAGAGGAAGAGGTGGTCTACAAACGCAGGATCACCACAGAGGAGGAAGACACGAATCCGAAGAGTCTCACCGTGGTCGCTCACAATTGCATCACGATTTCCACCAAAGAAAACAAAGAGATCATTCCTCTTCATCCTCCTCATCTTCATCCAGCTCCTCCAGCTCCTCCTCCTCAACATCCCTCGCTTCCCTCCCCTCCCCCGACCATCTTCCCGATCACCAACTCCTCGCCGCCAAAGAATCCCTACTAGCGTGGCTCCACCACCCCGAATATCCTACGACGCAACAAACCATTCAACGATTAAGACAAGACATCCAATCCGCGAAGAAGAACAAGAACAAGAACAAGAATAAGAAGAATCCTAATCCCAACATCGCTAATTCCGCATCCACAGAAGACCTCGCCACCCTCCGCAAAGAAGTCGCAGATCTCCTCCGAAAATTCAACGACGAGCAGAAATCTCAAAAAACCATTCGCAAGATCCTGCGCAAAGAACAGCGAGGATTGAAAGAAGTGCATAGGAAAGAACGAAAAAGCACACGCAAAGCGGAGCGAAAACGCGCGAAGAAAGATAAGAAGGATAAGAAAAAGAAAGAAAAATGTAACAAAAGAGATCTTTCACATGGTCTACCCTCTGCGCCTATACCCACCTATCCAGACATCCCGGAGATACCCAGCGCGAGATTTCCACCGCTTCCAAATCTTCCTGCTCCTTCATTCCACACCCCGTTTCTCGGGATGCAGAATCCTAGCGTGTCAACTATGCCCGGAGGGACATGGCCGTTTCGCTCTTCTCCTCTTCCTCACCTGCAGCCTCACATCCCCACTCAAATCCCAAGATCTTCCATTCCTCTCCATCCTCCCGTTCCTTCCCCCTACGCACAAAATTCCTCGCATATCTACGCTCAAGCTTCTGCTCTCCTAGCGAGTGCGATGGCTAAGGAAGTCGAAGCTAGGACTCTAGGGGTCGTTTTAGAGAGTGTGTGTTTGAATGAGGGAGAGAGAGATGGCGATGTATTGGAAATAGAGAAGGAGAAACAGGAAGTAGAGAGGCTTCTGGAGGAATCTGGGGAGTTGAGGAGGGAGGGGAAGAGATTGATGGCGGAGGCGACGCAGATGGATGGAGGGTTTGCGAGGGAGATTCAGGAGCGGGAACGCGAGGGAGATGGGGAGACGTGGGCAGAGTGGCTTGGAAGTAATAGGGGTCAGAGTACTGGGATTTTTGGGAGGCAGTTATGAATGCGTGTATTGGTTGATTGATAATGCGGTATCTTTTGTATTCCGTCTAAGCGTTATTGGATTTGGATCTTCAATCCGCGCTGAACGTTCTGAGGGTTACGTTAATAAGTTCGGACGAATTTATTTCAATATCTAAACCCCAAGAATGTCTTGATCAGGACTTGTTCACTTGCTTTCAACTATCTATTGCTCTTCTGACATGGCGTGAAAAGCCTATTTATATCGTCCTGATTACTTTTATTTGTTTCTGTTTCATCGATATCTAGGTACAATGTGAATATCTCCTCAACCTCATCTCATCCCATCCCGTCCCATCAATTACCTTCCTGGAACATCCAAAAGAACACCACCGTCAACTGCAATAATCTCTCCATTAACATAGTTATTCTTCGATAAGAATAACACAGCCATTGCCATTTCCTCATCACTATACACATCATTAGCTTTCCAGCATTCTCAAACCCAAAGAGAGAGAGAGACAAAACACATACCTTCCACCCCTCTGCATAGGCACATGACCCTTCTGCTGAACCTTCTCCTCATCCAAATGACTCTTCTGCGTCTCATCACTCTCCCCCGTCGTCATCTCACTCGGGAAATATCCCGGCGCAATACTATTCACCCGCACGCCAATCTCCTTGAACTCATAACTCATCAACTTACTCAAATGCACCGTCGCGCCCTTGGCCGCATTGTACGAGAAATGTCCCTGCGCATGTCTCATAATTCCACTCATGCTACTAATCACAATGACAGAGCTGGACATGCGTCCATGAGCCTTCTGAGCCGCCTGTAGCAGCGGAAGAAAACAGACCGTGGTAAAATAGACGGCCGAGACGTTCGTGTTAAAGGTCGTGCCCCATTCCTCGAAACTTTCCGAATTGAACAGTTTATCTTTCAGCGCGACGGCATCCGAGGAATTGGGCTCGGCTTTGGGTCCGGAGATCCCCGCCCCCGCGAGGAGCAGACTGATGTATTTCTCCTTCTTGCTGATTTCGGAAACGAGGTTTTCGAGATCCGTTTTGCTGGTTACGTCACAGGGACCAATTCTGGAGGTTGGGGATTAGGTTAGATACGCTACCGAATGTGTCTATCGTACCTGTTGATGGGTAGATGATAGAGAAGGAGACCAGGTACGAAACTCACGGGATAATAGAACCTCCTGATGTGGGCGAGTGTTGCTTGGCTGCATTTTCTAGAGCTTCCATTCGACGACCTGTGATGTATACTTTTGCTCCATTTGCAGCTAATGTTTGGGCTGCCCTGTTTGATTATCAGTAGATATTCAAATATAAAAATTTCCAGATATGGAGAGAGAGGGGGAGGGAAAATACATTAATCCAATACCAGTTCCGCCTCCCGTGATGACGCAAACATCATTCTTCATAGAGAAGAGATTCTCAGCTCGAAGTTCATTTGTACCAACCATTTTGAAGTTTTAAAGTTTGAAGTAGAAAGGGAGAAGATATCAGTTTGTCTTTGTGTTGTGAGATGTAGTAGTCAAGTAGAAGAGATTAGCAAGAATTATATACAAAAGTTGAAAAAAACCCATCACCTGTTCTTTGTTCCTACCTACCTTATGCACCGGAGGACTTGCTCCTTGATCTGATATTAACAATGGAATGTTTGTTAGTTCCATACGTCACTGCACTTTGGTTTGCGGGCCGTTTGACGTGGGGGAAGGAATACAATATGTAGCCGCCACTGGTCGCTTGTAGCTCCCGCCAAAGCTAGAGCTAATTGTAACAACCGAGAAAGATCGATCGATGCCGAAATCATTCATCAGTGGTGGGGGGATTAGACAAATGCATGTTTTGGAGAGAATAAGAATTACTCGAGTAGATGGCGAATTACGCATATCAATGAAGAATTCTCATTCTAGATATAAAGCCCTCCTAAGAATTGATCCATGAGATTGATCAAAAGGCACACAAGTGCTGACCTAGTATTCACATGAAAACTTCTCATGGGTACTTCAATACTTGCATGAGGTGTACACATATTTATTATCCTTTATATTCCCTAAGATATCGTGAAAATCATCATAGTACCGAATCTGCCTTATGGTTCTACTCATTCTTCATGAGCCATGGTATATTTAGAAAGATCAAGCGCATTGCGCAGCGAATCTCCTCTCCCCTCACCTCCATTGTTGTACATATTAAAGTCTTCGAGGTGGTCGGGAGGTCTTTATGATGATTCCTCAACCAAGACCTTGTTCTCTTCCAAAACCTTTGCTAGTTCTCCATTTTGGTGCATTGCGACCAAAATATCACATCCACCGATAAATTCCTTGTTGACATAAAGTTGGGGTATGGTTGGCCACTCGGAGTATTCTTTGATTCCTGTTTGACATGCATGTTAGATTCCATGTAGCATACAACAAGGATTGGTGTTTCTGGAGACAAACCTTGTCTTAAACCTTCATCCTCAAGTACATTAAGAGCAGCAAACTTCTCTGGGTTCAAGCCTTGCAGGCTCAAGATCTGAATAGTTGCCTTTGAGAAGCCACACATTGGGTTTTCTGGTGTGCCTTTCATGAAAAGGACAACTGGCTTTGAGCCAACAACTTGATCAATCTGCTTGCGAACTTCTGTAGAAAGATATCTGGATGCGATGGGGGAGAATCGAGGGGTCGAGAATTTGGAGGCAAATACCGCGGGGCGGGCAGCCTGTCGGAACATCTGATTAATGTTAATTAGTATTCCAGGTAATGTTTTTAGGTTCTCAATGACTTGGAGAAGCTCGACATACCGATGACAACATTGGTTTGGCAATCATATTGAAATATGATATCTTTTTACTGTACAAGATTTGTGGAATTTGATGTATTTTTTTGGGTGGCCTTGCCTCTTGATTGACAATGTTTAAGAGCTTCGGAGAATGGAGGTTCGGAAGAGCTAAGCATTATCGAACCAATCAATGTCTGTGGTATGTAATATTATCGATAACTGCACTCAGCCTTATGAATCAAATCATTCGATAGAGAACATCCAATAACAATGAATAATGATGAGTGAATAGAGAGTATTGAATCATTCTAGATTCCCATTCTTTTTATTACAAATCCCTTCTTCCGTTACTGTAGCATGTAAAAAATCCTCAACTCCCACACTCTCACACACAATCAATCTTCCAATTGCTTCCCAATATTCAAGTTATCGAACTCATCAAAATCTTATTCACCATGTTGCAAATGATCCATACCGGGCGTGACGAGCACCGAACCCGAGTGTCTGGAACATCACACCCTTTTACGGCTGCGGATCATGCTTCCGATGGTAAACGTCACCTCCTCCTAGCAGCCAGTGGATCCGTCGCAACCATTAAAATCCCCAACATCCTATCTGCTCTATCACATCATCCCAATCTCTCAATTTGTGTCATCCTTACCAAATCTGCAACCAATTTTCTCCAGGGTCAAAGCATAGAACAACCACATATCGATACTTTCCACCGATACGCCAACGTGCAAGGTGTGTTCCTTGACGAGGAAGAATGGATCCATCAATGGAAACGTGGTCAGAGTATTTTGCACATAGAGTTGAGAAGATGGGCACACATGCTTGTCATTGCGCCATTGAGCGCCAATACGATGGCTAAGATTACGGGTGGTTTTAGCGATAATTTGCTTACGAGTGTGGTGAGGGCATGGGATACTACCGGAGAAGTGGAAGCTTCTACTCAGAATAGTATGGATACGAATGGAGAGACGGTTTTCAGCGGCAAAAAAAGAATAGTTGTAGCTCCGGCGATGAATACCGCTATGTGGAGACATCCAGTAACGAAGAGTCAAATCAAGATCTTGGAGCAGGAATGGGGTATTGGTCCTGGTGGGGATGAGGGCGAGGGATGGTTCGAGGTTTTGCGACCTCAGGAAAAGGAGCTCGCTTGTGGAGATGTAGGGGATGGAGCCATGAAGGATTGGAAGGAGATTGTGACAGTAATTGAAAAGAGGCTAAAGCTGGAAGCATAATTGGCACTGGGAGGTGATATGCTGGCAACTTTTCTTCAAGGGAATGTAACCTCCACGGATGGAGGGCCAATTATATCTAGCTGTTGTGGGTGTCGAAAAGTGTCTTGCCGTTTTCAACAGGTTGCGGCGTAAAGTTGGCGTTCGGAGTATGGAATTGCATCTGTTATAAAGGTTACCTCAGATACCTTGGACTTAGTATGTTCAGCTTGATATTCCGTATTTTCCTATTACCCTTGTTGAAATGTCTGAAAGTTAGACATTGAAAAATCAAAATCAAGATTAAAATGTAAGTGAGGATGGAGACTAAACCTTGGCTAGCCCAGAAGAGTGACGGAAGATCTTTCCTGAAGTTCAAACATTGTAATCAACGAAAACAATTACAAACGCCAGATTGCTCAAGAAATACAGTTGTAGGTGGAATTACAAAGGTCACATTGGAAGCGCATACAATCGATCATCGAATCTGATATTGAGGCATTCTGTACCCTATGAATATCAATCTCATAGCTAGAATCACTCTACACTTCATTAGATCTTTCATTTCATTCGTCACACTCATCAATTCTTGTTTGTCTCAGTTCAACACTTTTCCAAAAAGCCTCCCGAAAACATTGCAAGTAATTGCATCATAAACCCCCCAAAATATTGATGCAGAGCACTTCACAATGCTAGTAGCCTTTAGCACTCATCCCATAATGGAATGCTCTGCTCACAGATATACATGATTACAGCTACCTACCAGACGGCCATCGGCCGAGGGAGTGTGCTCTGTAGGGTCATGACATTGGAGCCAGAAGTATGGGTGCTCACCTGCAGAATCCCGAGATAGAACATGCGAGACCACAATAAAATTCTTAATTATACAATCAAAGGGTTATTTATTTCTGTTTATGGAGAAGAATTTCATTATTGTATTTCATGCGGTGAAATTCCATTGTGAACACGATGAATGCACATGTTGTTCAGACAGTTCCTTCCTCCTTTAAAATCGGGATTGTTTTAAAGCAACTTTCATTTTCACTTTCAAGTCCAAAGCCTCAACACAACATTTCTGAAAGCATCCAAATCCCTTCTTCATCCACGAAGAAATTCATATTTCTCTCCCAGTATAGTTCATCCATACATACATAGTGATATATTCAGACGTCACAATGACACGACAAGCCAACCATCCAAAAGACTTTCCAGCCACCCACCGCAAATCGCTCGATGGAAGTAAAGCACATGGCGCAAAATCAAAACCCAAGACATCCAAAGTATCCAAGACAGCACCAACACCCAAACAATCCCGAGAGCAGGCCAAGAAATCCATCGTCGTAAAACCAATTCCCAAGAATGAGGTTCGGAAACTTCAACAGAGCGGTAAAGATACACGTCCATCCCAGCTTCCCAAACATGCTCATGGAGCTGAATCATCTCTTCAACCCGAGGATCTTTCTTCTGCTTTCGAAGGCGAGTATTGTACTTCCATATACTATACTATACTTATTTGATAGTGTGAAACTGACTCAACTCCAGAATCCCTCGAAGAAGCCCGAACCACATTCTACGTGCCGGAAAAGCCGCGTTCGAAGAAGCCCACACGGGTCTTCTCCAAAAACTCACCAAGGCCCAAACCACCGATCAAGCCTTCCTCCAAACCATCACCCACAACGCACAAGCGCTCAGCGCGCCCTTGGCCACGCAGAAAATCCAAATGACGGTGCAGCAAAAAGGACGGCGCGTTTCCGAAATCGTCGAGATTGGCCAGCGCGTTGCGCAATTCCGACAGACGGTTGAAAAGGAAGAAAAGAAGCTCGAGGGGTATTGGCAAGAGTGGGAGGGCGTACAGTCTGAGTTCAAGATATTTGCGACTCGGGTGTTTGGGGGCGAGAGGTTCAATGAGGAGGATGCGGATGAGGGATACTATGTCGATATGCTGTTGTTGAGTGCTGAATACACGGCCCAGATGAATGTTTTGTTGGAAGAATTGGATGAGGTGGGAAATGAGGTGATTAAGAAGATGAAGGCTTCGGAGAAGGTATGATGCTCTTGTTTTTACTGTGCAGGAAGGCACACACATATTAATACATACATTTATACTGACAACTACATTCCGTGCAGGAAATCGATGTAAAAACAGACAAAGTACGACAAAGAATTGTAGGCGCAATGATGTGGTGAATGGGGATTTATCTTAATTTGCTCACTGGTATTGAGCTGCTCGTGCTGTGTTGTTTGGGATGGGATGCACGATGCGAATAGACACTAGCCATATTTTCATATTTGCTCATACTCATGTCCATTGGACAATGATATTGCTATATAATTTTGCTGGGAGGAGCTAATTAAGTTTAATACCTACATATACATACAACACAGTCAGTGTATTATACACTCACTCTATACATCTGTACATCAAAATCCACATAATAATCGAATCTTTCAATTACGTTTTAACATCCTGCAAAGCAAAGATTGCTTGAATTTTGACGAGTCTTCTACATACTTCCTCTCCGATGAATCAGATCCCCCTTCCAGCCCAGCCGTATGTTGAAATCGTTGAATCTCGGCTATATACCAAACTCTAGCTCGTATGCATTATAGCATTCCATCAGAAACCAAAATTTCCTGATATCTAGACTTCAAAGACTCGACTCTCGATGTTGAGATTGCTGGTCATGAATGAATGAATGTACGCTTCCTTCAAGACATTGAGAGCAATGTTCCCAAAGCCAAGCAGCACATCACACCAGACTGACGAAATGGGGACAAACACGAACATTATCTTTCATAAATCATTGCTGTGATATTCTCTATTCTATCAAAAAATACACAAAAAGCCAGTCATCAACGCTGATGCGACTCTCTCTATGCAAACAGATATCTCTATGTCGCTGAACCAAGCCCCAAAGAAAAGCAAAAGCAAACCAGGCTGCGCCATAAAGTAGCCAATCAATTTTTTTCCTCCCGCCGTCCAAAAGTGCAAATGCGAGAGACGAAACAAGAAAAGAAGACGATCTGGCTGGTTGGAGAATCAATCTCCACTGTACAAGCGAATCCCATAGCCAGAACGATCCAGAGTACCGAATTACCCGAATCCAATCAATGGAATGGGGATGATTCATGCACCAACTTCATCAATGACAACACCCCATTCGTGCTCTACGTTTCCGTACATGATGTCGACCAACCATTGCTTGACCTTTGCAGCGTATTCTCCGCTGTTGCCCTTGACCATGGGGATATCGATATCCTTCTCTCTGTAGTTGATTTGTGCAACGGGAACGACGAAGTATGCAGTTCCACAAGCGAAAGCCTCTATGACACGGCCTTCTTTGGCGGTCTCGGCAAGCTCATCCATGGTGAAGTTGCGCTCCACGATTTCAAGCTCGGGGATACGTTCTCGGATGAGTCTGTAGTTTCGAGGTTAGAACAATTTTCAAGGCAATGAGTCAAGAGGATACTTACTGCAAAACACTTCTTCTGGTAACACCATCCAAAATAATTTTGTCCTTCAAAGGAGCAGTAATCAACTGCTTCTTACCCTCCTTAGTTTCCCACACAACCATAAAGTTGCTGGCTCCAGCCTCGGTAACCATTCCATCGAGCAACCACAAAACTTGATCATAGCCACGGGCACGAGCTTCCGAGTTCGCCATCAAAGTAGGTCCATAGTTGGCTCCTACCTTTGCGAAACCGAATCCACCAGGCCAGGCACGAACACCTTCTTGACTGGCAAGGAGCTTCATTCCCTTGGGCGAATCCATTGAAGGCATGAAGGTGGAGATGATGAACATTGTGCATTCCTTAGGGGCAGCAACACCAACTACGTATTCGTATTAGTGATCTGTCTAGTAAAAAGTATACTTCACACTTGACATGGCGTCAAAGTCAAAATCTAGCAAAGGGTATACTCACGTGCTCCAGCGCTACCAATCATGGTGGGTCGCAAGTAGAGGAAAGTACCAGGTTCTGGGAGCCATTTAGGACCGTCCACAGAAACCAAAGCAACGATGAGTTTCTCCAACTCCTTGGGATCGAATCCTGGCAGCGAAATACGGGTAGCGGAAGTGAGCATTCGCTGACAGTTGCAATCCGGTCTGAACAATCTGAGTTTTCCGTCGAATCCACGGTACATTTTCATGCCCTCGAAACATTCAGTTGCATAACTAAAATGAGTCAATATCTATATTCGGAATACATAATTGGTCAAAAATCACAGTATGATTCTTGTTTGGGTTGTGATATGAGACGTCTGTTCGGAGATCCTATCCCATCCCACATCATCCTCAAACGAGAAAAATGGTGGCTATGGCTCAAGCGCCTCCCATCTAGCAAACAAAACACCACAACGAAAAACAGAAGACAACTTACTGTAAAACAGAAGCCGTGGGAGCCAAAGAAAGATTTCCATATGGTTTCAACTCTGGTACACCCCATCCCGTCATGTTGTTCCACACGGCTGTGACCATGTGGTCGGTACATTGAGAGGCAGTATTGATGATTGGGTCGCCTGCTGCAGGAACATTCATAGGAGTGGTGGTTTTAGTGACCTTGAGTAAAGATGCATCTAGATGAGGAAGAGTACCAAATTCTGTGGTTGCAATCTTTTTGGTGACGGCGGCAGCCAAGAGTTCATCGGATTGCTGAACATCTTTAGGAGGAGTTTGTGAGATTGCTGATGGAGCCATGGTGAATATGATGTGTGATTTTATGGTAACCTGATCCCCAATTGATACTTGAGAGAAAAAGTAAAAGAGTGTAGGAAAGGGAAAGTATTGATTGAAAACTTCTTAAGAAAATCTAGTAGTCTTGATGTCAAAAAAAGGTTGCAGGTGATTAAGAGAAATGGAATTCGTGGACAAAGAAAGGATTTCTAGAGTTTATATAGAATGAACTAATAAATTTATTAGTAAAAGGAGTTTCGTTTGAAATTTTGAGTCACACCCCAACAAACAATTTTGGACAATTTTACTGGAGGGACTCGAGGGAAGGAAGTGGAAGGGGAAGGGAAAGGGACCCAGGGGAGTGGAATCTACAGACATGCACAGATAAGATTCTCATACTCATAAACCCATAAATTTATAAATTTATAAAAATATCAAAATGTATATTTGACAGAGAAAACTCAAACTCAACCTTATGGCACTAGCCAATCTCTGTGGGAATCCTACCTGGGTCATCGAGTAATCGAGGCGATGTATCAAAAAAGAAGCCAATCAATTATTATATTCTCATACGCCGCCCACCGCCCATTTGGGGTCTACTTGGCAGGTCCTCCATCGAATCATGGCTTTGGAGTATAAAAATACCTGACGGTTTAGCACGTAGATAGTACGTACGTACGTACCAGATTTCGTGTCTAGAAAGTTGTCATGAATTTTGCTGGTGGGTCACTGCAATGCACGGAAAATCAACTACTATGGAAGTAACGGCACGGAGTACATCGTAGTCAGTCGGGAAGGGCGTGTTATATCAGGAGAATAGTCAAACAGTGAAGATCTACTCCAATGAGTCCGATCATTGAGAATTCAAAAGGGAGATAGATCCATGTAGAAGGGACTGCTGTCAGAAGACTGACCCCCCGAGTTTTGACCTCTAAGCATAAGAAAGTATATCTTGGCGAGGAATGATGGATTGTATGTAACACACGGCTTATTGGATTCTTGCTGCGGTTCATTGTCCGAAACGGAGCCGGACAGGAGACGTTGATGATAAGAAGAAGGCGTTGAAAGTCGTGGATGTGGATGTGGATGTGGATGTGGATGTGGATGTGTGTGCATTGTGGGACATATCAGATATGATGTCGTCAATTATGAACATTTTTCATTTTCACTCTTTCCAATAAAAATGGATGAAAAGAATGAAGTTTGATATGAATCGCTTATTGCCGGTTAACGGTTACACTCGGATACTGAGACTTCAAGATATGCGGAACTGCAAGAAAGATTCGTATCATCAGAAGTCACAAGCACATTCATAACCTGATAGATCGCTGTTTGTAAACATTCAACATTGTCAATTGGCTGTAATGTTTTATCTTGACGGTGGATACCAAGCCATGGCATGTTCTTTGGTCAATTAATCTGATATTTATCTCTATCTTATGTAAAATTAGGTGGTATCTCTCTATCTATGAACTTTTTTTTTTTTTTTGGCTGCCTCTCTACCCTTGAACTTTTCCTTCAGGTTTTGACCCATTTATGCAATGTTTTCCTTTAATCGCTGCTCTTCTTCCAATCGTTCGCGAGTCCTCTGAGCCTCCTCGCCAATACCTTTTACTCCCTTTACGCGTTGTCTTTCTTCATACATGTCTCGACTTTTCAAAATTCTTTGTACGATTTGACCAGCATTGACAAATGCAAATTCATGGTTTCCAATTTCACGATAGATTCCCATTTCCTTTGCAGCGATGTATGGATCATAAGTCAATGGCATGAAACTTGTTGGTCCGTGATAGACGGCATCAGGTACTCCCCATGGAGTTGTTGTAAGATATGCCTTGGAGGGAGTAAAAGGCGCACCAAAGATGACGGCGTTGACATACTGTATAAAGTTAGAATTGCAACCTGGGCGAGATATTTTGGGACGCTTAATACCTTGCATTGCAATACGCAAAGACCTCGTTCGTAGATATTCATGATTGGATAATTGACTCCTTTCCAATGATTGATAACTTCATCATCGTGAACACCAGCCACCACGAAACATGGGGCATAGTCTGCCCCTTTACCAAGACGTTCTTCTACAGCCTCTTTGTTGTACCAGCCTTCTGCCTCAGCGAGCTTCTCTTCCGCCTTTATGACTTGTCGAAGGAATTCAATATGACCCGAAGAAAAGAGATCGAAGCCACCATCAACATATACGACTCGCTGACCAGGTTTTGGGGTAGATCCTTGCATCAATGAACTGAAGACTCCCTTCTCGTTCTCGGTCTCGTCCTCCCTAGCCGCAATCGAAGCTTTCCAAAACCAAACACTTGAGCCTGGCTTCAGTCCAGTTTCATCGGTAGCATACATTCGCATTCTTTCAGTCATAGCTTTGCCTTCAGTGTGTCTCTCCTCCGGAGTTCCAGAGCCATCTTCCCCAGCCAAGAGCTTGGGAAGTGATTTAATAAAGTGCGTTCGTGTGCAGAGTAACATTCGTCCTACAAGATCTGTCGTCGAGATACTTGGCGTTCGCTTCACGACCTTGAATCTACCTGCGGCCTTGACAAATCGATAACAATCTTCCCCACTGCTGTCCGATGTAATATCATCGCCATGAACTACATATTTGCACCCATAATGAGAAATCCATGGCAAAGAAGTAACATATGGCGCATATGATACCGATTGTGTAACCCATCTGCAGGCATCTACTGCCGCGATTCTTGAGGATATGGTATCAGTAAATCAGTCCTCGTCCAATGGTCGTCCTGAATTACCGTTCTTGTAGCGTCATGACCGTAGGTCCTTTGTTCTCGAGAATTGATTCATCTGAATGAATTCCTACAACCAACTCATTCCCCAATTGTCGTGCTTGAAGCATGGCGCCAGCATGTCCTGTAGAAGAGTCAACATGTTAGCATATGAAGTCAGGGGTAAGCTTTCAACATAGCTTCCTGGAACTCGATATAAACAAACATACCATGATGAAAGAAGTCCCAACATCCATCTACCCATATTCTATCCTCTAATATCTCAGGCGCTGGTTCGCCAAATGGACCTTCTTCCTCGAAATTATTGGCCATAATTATGAATTAATTGAAAGTATGATTATTCTTTGGTTTTGAAGATCGATATATTTCACAAAAGGTGTTTCTTCAAATGGCTAGGTAAGGTTAATAATAAAAGAAGGGGTTGCGGGGCATCTCCTCCCTTTACCGCTTACCAGCAGATCAAATCAATCAATCAATCAATTAATCAATCTCGTCAATCTTATTCATGGATCACACTGTCCAAGTTCTACACAGTACCATGTAACTGGAAAACCTGGAAAATTAGAACATGAGGCTATATTCTAGAAAATATGCAACCTCGGAGATTCCAAGAAAGAAGGTGACGAAAAAGAATTCTCCATAGCCAAAGTTTGTGCTATGTAGGTATGATGTAGATATTCGATGCTTCATTCGTCAAATCTATCTACCTATCTGGGTACTCGAGTATATCATGCGTGCCATTTCTTCAACGCTTCAACGGCTCCAGATGGATGGAGTTCACGAAGAACCAGTCAGGAAGCAGCCATGATTATTCCATACAGCTCAGCTGTACAGAATAGGTCCATAGGATGTGAGATGTAAGGTTAACCCTATTCAAGCAACCTTACCGTCTTACACCCCCCTGAACGTTGGGGTCAATAGACCGATAAAGTAGGATGGGCAGCGATACACCACCACCTATGTGGTTCTGAACAATCAAACTATTGGGTTACAAGATACCCAGATCATCTTACTTATGGGACATGAAGGATAAGACAAGAAGAGGATAGGTAGATATGGATATGAACTCCGATTCCTTCCTTCTCTTTGCATTCGATCTATCACCTCGTACTTTGTTGTGTTTAGTCTTTTTTTGCTTCTTCAGTCAATCCTTCCTTTTTTTCCCCCAATTTTATCTGTTGCTTTTTCCTCATCCTGCAGATTTGCTTTTTACGGTTGAAGTCTGGGGATGAGACTTCGGTATTTCCTTTCTGATCCACTCGAATAAATAAATAATATTAGCACATTTCCCAACAGGATTTGATAATATATATCCCTTTTGATTCCTTTTTTTGTCTCTCTCTTTACTTTTGAAGTGTTGTTTAAAAGCAGGCAAGCAGGCAAGCAGGCAAGCAGACAAGCAGGCAAGCAGGCAAGCAGACAAGCAGACAAGCAGACAAGCAGACAAGCAGACAAGCAGACAAGCATACCGACGACAACGAAAACGAAAGAGTGCGAGAGACGACAGTCGAAGAAGACATCGAGTGTGAACATTGATTCTACTGAAGAGAAGCTCGAGAGACGAGAGAAGGTGGGGGCTCCAGCTATCATCGGAAAATCCAACATCTAATTAGCCGATGTTGTGGCGTACTATTGCGGAAAGATGCATCGACCTACACCCTCCTCAAATACCAATGGTGGACTCTTCAAAGGTGGTAATATATTTGGGGGCAGTAAGACTCCAACTTCAAATCGTCCAAGCACTAGCGGAGGTTCCCCTAAAAGCGAGTCCAAATACAGTCCAACACATCAACCGACTCACCAACCGAGACCATCGGTAACGGGCTTCAGTCGCAAACCCTCCTTTTCTGCATCCTCTCGCCATAATCGACGTAATAATTCCACGGCGCATTTACACTCAACACTCCTACCCAATCTTCCATTATTTCCCACTTCGAACTCATCCGAAAAGCATTCTGCTGCGAACAATCCCTATGTCGTACCAGTAAACCTTCCATTACCACCCTCGGATCCCCGACAAAGCATAGATAGTTACGATCGCGTTGTCTTGGCAGAAACCGCAGGAGCCAATTCGTTTGGAGAAACATTACCGCGTCAATCGATAGATGCTCAATCCTTCACCTCGACGACGCCATATTCGAAGATGCTTGCTAGACCAGGAACGGGTTATCAATCCTCAGGGGGAGGACCTGCGGGACCAGGTGTAATGGCCCCAATGCAACCTGGTAGTCCTACGCTTGAGACCATAACTTACCAGCACATACAAGAGATGGCGTCGAAGAGAATATCTACTCTGGATTATTTACGAAAGGCGTATGTCTTCGCCATCCTTTCATTGCAACTTACCCCAGAAAGATTATACTGACAAGCTACCTCGAATAGTCATGAAGGAAGAGTCTACTGGTTCAATACATTATTATTCAACAAACCGGATTTACAACGAATGCCCTACTTCGATGCGCGCAAACTGGCTCGCCGCGCGACAAATTATCTTCTTCTCGGTCTTTCACTCCCTGCAATCCTCGACCTCAATTCTTCAAGTCCTTCCGAATTTCTGCGCACGCTCAACGCGCTTCTCGGCGAATTCGAATCTTTCCAACAAGCGCATCCACCAGATGGATCGACATCTTCTTCATTATCGCGCGGAAGATTTCCACAAATGTTCAAGCGCTCAACTATGATTCCAAGTAAAGGGCGACGCACAAGTTCTGCAACCGAAATAGGATTACCGATGGGCAACGATGTCTCGGATACGAAGTCTATCAATGGTAGTACATCGAGTGGAGGTGGCAATGGCGCAACATCATTCCCAGCAAGTGAGAACGATTTATTACCAGGGGAGGAATATACACATCTCTTGACACCATCTTTACCATTCGATCCCGATTTCTACGAGACATTTGCGACACTCTGCGATGTGTTGATTGATTGTTATACAAGGTTGATGAGCCTGGTATCGTCACCTAAAGAGTGCAGTCCACAGATTGCGGAAATGTTTACCAAAGCAGATGCTAGAGTAAGGAAGATTATTGTGCAGGGAGTAGTAAAGGAATTTGAGGATAGCAGCAGAGGTGGAGTAAAGAGTGAGGTTGCGGGCGTTGGGAGAGTGGTTCTGGGTGGGCTTATGTGAAGGATATTGTTTACTAGGGCATTTTATGGGTGGATTAACGGCTTGATACCATATGAGGATTATGACGGGTTGGGAAATTTAAAGGACAACGGCGTCGTTTGCATACATCTGCATCACTATCTACATTTTTGGATTTTGGGAGTATGAGTTGCACATCAGGTAGATGGAAATTAATATAATATTATCATTAAATAAGTTTGCTTGACAAAAGGAAAAAAAAGCTTTGTAAAGTTCATCAGACACCATAACGCAATTGTGGTCATCAAATTATGAGCCGCTTTTTACACGGCCCAATTCAGTGCTTGACTCTATTTGGTAATCATCACCTGAACTGCTTTTATGATCGCAACAAAGTCCAGCTCCTTCGACAGAGCTTCTAAGATGAATGACTTCCAATCAAGGACGACCCTTTCGGTGAAGAAAGGGTTAGAGTTTGGTGTCCCAACCTTCAGTCAAAAACATCTTTGCTTTCCTATAAGCTATAGACTCAAAAAATGTAATTGAACTTCTCGCATCAAGAATAAGCCCCATCGAGTTACTTTCCCAGCTTTGCAGCAAAGGAAAGCAATCGCATAACTATCGATCTCGACGAAAAAGCCTCGACTACCATTAACACTCCCACCCCAATCAGGAACATGTCTTCTACCTCCCATCACCACTCTTCTTCAAGTCAGTTGGAAACATTACACAAGAGCTCGGACTCATATCTTCATCCATGTGGTCTCCCATGCTCTGAATCCAATTTTCAAGAAGCCTCGTGGCAATAGTAATAACGGCAAAAGGATGGATGAAATTGAAGGTAAAGAATTGGTAGAAGAGAAGCCGCAAGTGCTTCTATGGCGGCGCGTTTCCGCAATCCTAACTTTTAGAAAGAAGGGTGTCCGGGGACTTTCTCCCAAAGCATAAGAGTAGATTGAAACATCGATGAAGATATTTCTGTTTGTGTGCTTCGAATGCGATTCTTTGAGCGAGAAGTTGTAGAAGAAAAGGAAGAAGAGAATTCCCATTGGAAAATTTAAATTTTGTAGTGGATGGGAGGTTTTGTGCGGCCGCTAGTGTGCAGCTAGCTAACATCATTAGCGCGGATTTTCAACATGAGCTTTCGATGCCTGGAGAAGCCGTCTTTTTTAATTACGTGCACGCAAAACAGGTGAAATTGAAATTGCTCGACGACCAACGCCAACGAACGCGAACCGACGCGAAAAAGCTTTCTTGCTCGAGACGGCGCATACTACTGAGACGATTTTGCAGATATTTATAAGCAAATATGGCCGGATTATTTGGTTCTGCGGCTACCACAACCTCGACGAGCGCGGCCAATACTCTCGGTGATCTTTCGAAAGATATCCCTCTCAATAATCCTCCCGAGGATAGTATTTCCGATCTTGCCTTTTCGCCGGTTTCCGAACATTTAGCGGTCGCATCATGGGATAAGAAAGTGAGGATCTATGAGATCTTGTCGAGCGGACAGAGTGAAGGCAGGGCATTATTTGATTTCGAAGGGCCGGTCTTTAGCTGTCACTGGTCAAAGGTATGTATACGTTTTAGCTGAGCTTATAAGAGAGTATACTGATAAAGCCGAATAGGATGGAAAGAAAGTCGTTGGAGCCGGAGCCGACAAAACTGCGCGTGTTATGGATCTTGAAAGCAATCAAACGGTATCGCAAGTCGCCGCGCATGATCAACCGATAAAATCCGCGAGATTCTTCACTGCCCCTCAAACAAACGGCGAGATGCTCGTGACCGGATCTTGGGATAATACCATTAAGTATTGGGATTTGAGAACTCCTAATCCGGTCATTTCGGTGAACATGAACCATAAAGTCTATACCTTAGATGTGCAAAAGAATGTTTTGGTTGTTGGTACCGCAGACCGATTTATCAATATTATCGATTTGAACATGCCAGATAAGATTAAGAAGACCATTCAAAGTCCGTTGAAATGGCAAACTAGAGTCATTAGCCTATTTCCCGACGCTTCTGGTTTCGCCGTTGGTAGTATTGAAGGAAGATGTGCCATTCAATATGTTGAAGACAAGGACGCCAGGTATGCAATCTTTCCCCAAAACGCATTTCTCAAGACCCCTCACTAATCTATCAAAGCATGAACTTCTCTTTCAAATGTCACCGCGACCCACCCTCAAACAACATGACCAACGTCTACTCCGTAAACGCAATATCCTTCCACCCTATCCACGGTACTTTCAGCACTGCTGGGTCCGACGGCACGTTCCATTTCTGGGACGGAATTGCCAAGCATAGATTGAAGGGATACCCAACCGTTGGGGGAACCATCTCAGCTACAGCCTTCAACCACACCGGAAACATTTTTGCCTACGCCGTTAGCTACGATTGGAGTAAGGGTTATGCAAGCAACACACCACAATACCCAAATAAGATTATGTTACATCCAGTAAACGCGGATGAGTGCAAGCCTAGACCAAGCGTCAAGAAGAGGTAGATGGAGATAAGATTCGATTACACTATGAGAATTTCGAGACGGAAAATTGGCGAATGATAAATAAAGATATATGGGCGAGAATTCCAAGGCCTGAAGGCATCTTTGATCCTATAAGATGGCATATGAATCGAATTGAGTGGAAGGAGGCATAGATGTAGTCCTAGACCGAGCGTTTCAAAACCAGGATCTAATCGAGCAAGGGATGGGAGAGCTGGATGCCACAGTTATACAAAAAGATGAAGTTATTACAGAGGAGTTTAAGGCGGTCACAGGGCGATCAATAGGATTCCAAAATTAGGTCATATGGGTAGTAATGATATGAAGCGTGTTCAAAGTCAACCATACAACCTATCTCACATTTACGCACTCCTTAAAATTCAGTGATACGACACACGAGTGCGATAGAACCAAATGTCTTACAATGCATCAATGCATCAATGCATTCATTTCCATTTCCATTTGAACTCCCGCAGTTCCCACAATGCAGTCCAATCGAACCAAGTCTAGAATAGTGATAGTAACATACCCATCGCGTCGATTGCCCAAATCCCAAAAGGCTCCCATACTAATGCTCATACGAATAAAAAGAAAATTCTGACTTGCCAATCCTCCAACTCGTCATACGTGCAGTGCATTAGACTATGAGTAACTCTTTTCTTTGCCCTTGCCATTTCCATTTCTCCTTGTGGTGCCTTCATCATCACTTGCACTTCCAACGCTGTATCTATCTCTATCCATGTCGTCTGTAGGTGACTTCACGTGTAGTTCATCCAATTCACTTTCGTCAAAGTCTGCTGCCTCCACATCCCTCGCCGTTCGTTTGTTGCGGAAATTCTCAAGACCTGCTGCGCCTCTAGGGCCACTTCTCGCGCCCGCCAAAGCCATAGGAGTGTCACCTCCGAAAATTCCAGCGTAACCAGCGCGTTGGCGTCGTTCACGCCAGATGTAATAGCCCCATGCCGAAGCTGCGATAATGACGATCACTAGGACAATCTCACCAGATTTATAGTAGGCGTTCCATTTCGCGGCTTCCAAACGTTCTTCTTCGGCTTGGGTAGCAGCAGTACTATTAGGATGACCGCCAACAGATGTCTCCAGACCCTTCTCGCCGTCGATACGACTATCGGTTGGAGCACCACCAATGCTAGCAATATCTACTTGCATAAATCTGTCAAGCATATCTCGGGTACGTCGTGCATAATCGAAGGGTACCATGTGAGACGAATTGTAGAAGAGGACGTAAGTCAAATTGCGTGCCTCTTGCCAGAAACCCGCTGCCTCGCCCTCGAATTCCCAATCCCGGCGTGGCGCCCATGTTCCGGATCCAAGTTCAAATCCTTTGCCACCGTTCCACTCCATATTGCTGATCATTTCTTCAGTGCCTATGTGGTTGCAAATCAAATCCTCAGCACCGGAAAATAGTATGGTAGGGACTTCTTTGAGAAGGTCTGGTAAAATCTGAATGGAAGGTTTTGAGTGTGTTGCTCTGAAAGCGCTGCCCACAGCACCGTTACACTCAGTCCATCCAGTCCTTTTTTCAGGCGAAATATGGAGAGCTGCAACCACGTCCGTTCGGCGAAGGTAAGGTGTAACATTGACCAAATCGGGAGGCCAGTTCATACCACAACTTGGGTAGGAGTCCTTCAACCTCACATCATACATGTTATAGCATTGCATATTGCCATCTGAGCCCTTGGTTTGAGTGGTCGACAGAATCTCCTGTAAAATCTGTTCGCACTGACCATTGTCGACCCTGTCTCTTCCGCCATTCTCGTTCAATAGCTTGGTGCAAATGGCTTGTTGAGACTCCAATTTCTTTGCCTTTTCACTGTCCTTCTTAACTAGCCCCTTCTCATATGCGAATGGAAGATAGGCCATGTATTGTTCAGCCGGCGAAATCCATCCATTTCCAATTAGCATTCCTTTCATTGGCCACGGATATTTTGTGTCAGGTTTCTTGTTTCGTTCCAGGATAGCTTTAGTAATGTAGGGAATGTGTTGTCCTGCATAAGATTCTCCCGCAATGTATAACTTTGAAGTAGTTAGTGATCTGTATAATAACAATTGAACAGTATTATACTCACATCATCATGCTCATATTCTGGGAAGAGCGCAAACCATTTCTCCAAGAATTGGACGAATTGATCTGCCATCTCGGGCAAATCATGAACGTAGCTGTCCGAGTCCACGAAACTGAATCCTGTTCCTACTGGATTATCTACGAACATAACATTCGCAAATTCATCCCAAGAACCTGGATTGTATTCGAGTTTTGGTCCATTGGATCCATCCTTTACTCTGTAGGGACCAATTTCCATCAAAGCTCCATCTTCAGAACTGCAACCTGGACCCCCATTCAGCCAAATCACGGTGCGCTGTTTGTTCGCAATGTGTCTATTCTGGAAATGCCAAAAGAATATGTTTCCGTGATGGTCAGGGGTGACTTCGATGTGTCTGCAAGCCTCGTGTTAGCTTTATCTCTGATATGGAGAATGTAACTTACCCAGCATGCATCTTGAGTAAGGGTCCAGGCGGAGCGCCCGGCAGCGAATGGACAAAATAATCCCCAGCAGTTTTATCTGCTTGAGCCAGCGAGGGCATCAACGATATGGATAATAGTCCCCATACTGTCAGTAAGGCCGAACTAGTCCTGGAAGTGAGAGACCGCATTGTCAATATTCAGCCCTTGGTGTTTGTTCCAATTCGCAACAGACAGCCCAGAAAAGGGTATCTCAAAACGGTGTTTATAGGAGTCGCGTAGTCGCGAATTACCAATATCCTATCATCCGCCGATGGTATTGAGATGAGAAAGATAAATTTTTGAAGTGTGTCAGAATGTGGACACAGTTGATATTGACCTGCTTTTGGGGGATTCGCGGCTTTGTTGTTTCTTAATACTGATACAGGAATGATTGTTAGGGACACTCTATAACGCTAGATTCCTTTACCCGCTATTGGACCCTAGCGACGTGAAACACTGTGACAGGTGCGGAATGCTCAAGAATAGATTGTGAGTGGAGATGATTACGAAATCTATGCGTATCTTGAGGAAATCTGAAATTGCATTTATCATATTTAAAGAGCTCAAGGTACAGCTATTGTGAAGCAATCTACTTACCATACCATAGTGCAGTATAATTTTTCCGAAAGTTTTCGGTCGTCGCCGACTTTACAAAGAAAATCCTTTAACTATTCACTTATTGTGACCCGTTCTCGGACTCCCCTTGCTCGAATTCATTGTCTTCCAAAAGATCCACCTGTGAATAAGAGTGTTTCGCATATTGATGTACTATGGTCTTAGACTGCTGCGATATGACCTGGACCTTCAGAAGCTAAAGCATTGTAGGCATAAGAAGCTACTTTTGGTCTAGAAGAACCCTTTGAAGCCCAACATTCTCTATACTTTGGTAGAGGGGAAAACTTAATTGCTAATTGTGGCTCAAAGATGCTAATGCCTGTATTTCTATCATTTCTTATGATTATTTACACCCCTATGTTCATTCTCTTGGCGAAACATGTTCGCCTGCTCAATGTTTCCAAAGTCCAAGTGAGCTACGTTCTAGAAATGCAGAACGACATTTGATGGGTGTAGTCTTATATTGGCCTTTGGACTTCTGATGTTCACTTGGAGCTATGAAAATAGGGCGGTGGCATATCATAACACTTTGCTACCCTGTGCAAATGTTGTTTATACCTAGATATCTCACGGAATTTCCATTATATAATCTCCTAAAACATGTCACCAAATCCCTTTTCCGTATCTTTCTTAATAAGTTCAACCATTCCCTATGTACTTGATTAAATCGACACGTAGGTAAGCGATGTCAGGAATTGTGAGCTTACCTCTGGCATGATGGGTTTTCCCTCGGCGTCCTTCACGTAACGAAAAGGCATTTCTGTACTTTCATTCTTGTTGACCCGAAGTTCTGGGTAGTCAACGTAAGGAATCTTGTCCAACGGAACTACAAAAAAGTCAGCATATAGCTTCTGAGTGATGGGAGGCATGCCGAATCAGCTGACTGACTTTTATCTTGAGTAACCATTCTTGTACAACGAACTGCAGTATCAGTTGTCAATTGGATGGGGCCAAGCCGACGGCCTTCGAAGCCTTTCTTTCGCAGTTCAGAAGTTCGATCTCTGGGTGGATCATCTCCTAGAGCACAACATATTAGCAACTACTTTATGTAGATAAGGCAACTGCGGTGTACCAACCTAAGATTCCGCCAAAAAGGAAAACGTCAAACAGGTCGCCATCTTCTGGACTCAATTCCTTAGTGGCTGCTGGATCAAGCAAACACACACGAGACTTGTTTTCGACATATAAAGTTTCGACACTCCGGCCGTCTGCAGTGAAACCCGGCACGGCCTTTAAGACCTCGGGTATGTTCAAGGTGGGAGGAATTGACGACAGGCAAAATTTTGCACCCGCCTGATTGGACTCTTTGGCTATGGTGATATATTCCAGCTCAGACCACGGTCCAAGTTCGTCATCGAGGTGCTCGACGATGTAGGTTTTTTGGGTCATCTTTAGATAGGTAGATATCTTAGCTGGATACTGATGTAGATTTCAAGATTGATTAACAGGAGAGACCAATAGGAAATAGTGCAAGGGTTAAAAGCAGAGCAATGAATCGGAAATAATCCCCAGTCGATGGTGGCTCAGGTGAAATAAGTTCTGGTTTGTTGCGGGGTAGAGAGTCCCAAGGGATGGCTAAATGATCGATGATCGTATGTGGTTATTGGACTCTGACTCGTGGTAACAGGAGACTACCCCTTGTGCGAGGAGCTGTTTTCAAACTTTGGAAAAAAGATAAAAGATGCAAAGATGTGCGGGGATCTGAATGAAATTGATCTCGTGATTGTCTGTTGCGAACTTTGAAAGCCAATCGAACTAACCTGTTCCTTGAGTCCTCAGGTTGATCTTTGCGCATCTACTCCGTAAATATACGGCAGTAGAAAGAGGATGTATATGTGGCTTACAAGGGGCAAAGGGAAGAAAG